TAGAGCTGGGGCTCCCCGTGGGACTGAGACATGAAGGGCCGCAGATCCAGATGCTCCAAATACTCCAAATACTTCACATCCTGATGACCACCAAACAAAAAATTTCAAACATTGCATGCAAATATCCTGTTTTATAATAAAACAAAGCATCTGTCATGTATGTTTATGACTTAAGCAGACACTATTGGCCATTTGACTTTGTGATTTTGCCTCCACTGAAGTCTGCAAAGCGTTTGAGTGAGAGGGTGAGCACATTGGCGCTGCGATGGATTGTGAATCTTTTTGAGGCCGTTACCATTTTTTTTGCACCGGAAGGAAACAAACATTCAGCTTGTTGACAAAAATCACACCTAAACACTAAAACTCATCATGGTTTGGCATCTCTTTGACTTACTTGGTGCATTTGTAAGCATTTTCGCCACCCAGCTGTTCTGGCTTGACAAACTGCTTCAGAGCTTTGGAGACATTTGGAGCAGTCTATATGAACAGAGAGAGAGAGGAAAAACCTCACACTCCATAATGCAGAGAATACATAGTAGCAACGTCACTTTGAATGTTGTCCAATTACCTTAATTTCCAGAGTGATATCCAGAAAAGGGTCAAATGTATCTGAGACAGCTTTGCAGTTTAAACGTTTAACTGAAACAGAAATCAGTGCTATGAGTATCACACAAGCTGTAAGACATAAAAAGACAAATAAAAGAAAAATAAATCAAACCTTAAAAAACAGTGACTTACCTCTGGATCTTAGGTACCCGCCAAACACTTGATGGATGAAAGAGGTTGCCTGCGTTTGCCTGTCCAATCTATAATAAAAAGATAAAGCACAAAAGTTAACTAATAAGGACAGTGCAACAATTAACTGACTGACCATTTATTTTTTAGCATTTTGGAACCAGACGATCACTTTACAGTATTCAAGTAGCAGAAAAGACAATAGGAGGAATTGGAGCACGATTAATTACTTAAGAGGCCATCTGCTGCTACACGGGAAGAATTAATTTGATGAGAATTGACACTTTAGGTTCTTAAAAAAATAAATGAATTAATAAATTATTTTTAGGAGTCTAACAAGAAGCACAACACTCAGCCCAGTGCATCTGTTAAACGTGTAGTTTTGGTTAAATGTGCACATAGACTTCGAAGCTCTATAGTAACACATAGAAAAACCTGGATTTTCTGAATTTTGCTGCTGCAATAATAGCAC